AATTAGCTCCAATAGAATAGTTGTTACACCTGTAGTACTTGGCGCAGGCTAAAGGATAAATTAACCTATAGCTATAAAGATTTATATACCATGTGGAAAATGATATGACTATTTTCTTAATCGAATTAATGATAAAAATTTGCCTGAAATATCTTGTTTTTAAGAAATACTATTTCTAATAATTGTGTGCTTTACAGGTAGCTCCAAGTGTGACGTAAGAAAGCTGACAAATGATCTAAACATCTGGGTATGCTCTAGAATAAACAAGCAAAAGGAATGCACCATAAAGTGTATTGAACCAAAGAAATTCTCTGGCATTGCTGCCGACAAATACACATGCAGACATGGAATATGGACTCCGAATCATGTTCCACTTTGTATTTAGCACACAAGAGTGCAAATAAATTACTTACTTTTCTTTAATTTATACATATTTTATTATCGAATCTTAAAATTAGGTCGAATTTTAATTATTTGGTTAACTTTGATTGTGATTCTAGCTTATTGAATTCGGAATATTGTTGATCTAAAAATATCATTCAGGGTAAATTAAGTTTCCACAGAATTCGGCTACAAATGGGCATTGCATCCTGAAAAAGAAAACTATAAAACAATTTTTTAAACATAACCACCACTAGCACCAACAATAAGGCGGAGTCTCAGAACAAAATTAAAAAACACTGATGAATTTTTTCAAAAAGAAAACTATGTAAAAATTACAAGAGTGAGAAACAAAAATGAAGCATTTTTTGTTCCAAGGTAGGGATATAAATGCAAATAAAAAAAAATTCATCTCAATTATATAACAAAAACAAATAAGAGTATTTTCTTATAATGGGGTATTTTATTTTATTTATTTTTAAAACGTTTGCTTTCCAATAATATAAAGAAACATTTAAATTTACAAGAATAACTTAAAATTTAAATAAGCAAATTTAAAAATTTAGCGTAAGAGGGCCCTATTGATAACTCGACATAGTTTCAAGAACAAACACTTAGGCTGGAAATAGGTCATCGATCACCTCATACATTTAACGATTTTGAAATTTTTTTTAACTGTTTTATGACAAATAAAGCATTTTCCAAAATATATTGAAACTTTTGCCCCTCTCCCGAAGACATTTTCTGAACAGTAGTATTGACATAATTCTAGTTTAGAAATGCGAGCAAACTTTTGTTTCGGAATTATGCATCGAGCAAAATATCTATGGAGTCATCGATTTTTAAGACAAGTTTCGTATCAACTATCACAAATAAAATGCTCAATTTCATTAAGTATCAGTTATTATAATTATTTTTTATACAGCTGAATACAGGTGCTGAATACAGCTACGACGGACAGTCGTAGCTGTATTCAGTACCTGAGAAATTGGGAGAGAGTAACGGACCGGGCTGGGGTCTCTATACTTCATTTATAAAATGCACTCTCAGCCTCCCATGACATCCATATTCAGTGGATACCCTCACACGTGGGTCTTTTTGGCAACGAACGTGCTGATCAGTTGCCAAAGAAGTTACTTCCCTCCCAGCCTCTCCAAACACGGCTCTCACTTACTCTGAATTATTTTCCATCCGCAAATCTAAAGTTAATAAAGCTTGGATTGTTCCACCGTATCACAATTGGTATCCCCGTAAGTGTCCTGGAGGAGCCCTTGATCTTCAGGGTACACGCGCCGACCAAACCGCTACCTGTAGAATTGACCGCGCATACTAAGAGCCTCACTTTCAGTGGACAAATTAAACTTTTTCCATTTCGTAAAAAATGCAACTCCAGCGAGGCTAGTCCTCACCATCTACTACTTGATTGCCTGGATTTCACCATGGAAGAGGTTCTTGAGAGACCTCTCCTTTTCCTCGATTTTTTGAAGACTCACGGCCTCATGGATTAGGTATAGCTCCGCTATCTCAGCTGGGATTGGAAACAACAACAAATTAAGACCTCATATAAAACAAAAGCATTAAACAAGGAATCTAAGTAAAATACTTAAATTTTTTAAAATTCATTTTGTGTTTCATTGTTTTCTTTATTTTCATTGTATGTTTTAGAGACATTTGATATAAGTATTTAAGTTTTTTAAAAATCAACATCTAAAAATAGGGGAGAAAAATTTTTTTATTTTTGTTTTAGCATTATGTGTAATTATTTATTTTTATTATACAGTCTAGACGATTCAGAAGCGTTATTGTAGCTGGTGGTCAAACTTATGATGAGTTTTATCCCTATTTAAGACTTCTTGAACACCCTTTCCAAACTAGTGTGAAGGACCTAAGATCTCAGGTTGTCAGAGAAGCATGTATTTCCATAGCGTAAGTTACTTATAAAGATTAATTATATTATTATGTTACAATTTATGATCTTCTTTCACAGTTTCGTTAATGTAAAATGTGAATCATAAAGTAAGAAACTTAATGTAATCAAAAACAATTTCTATAAGGAATTTAAAAATGAAAAAAATGAATTTAATTTATTTTTAAGCATCTAATATGAAAATACCAATAATTATAATCATAAATTAGGTGTTTGTGATTAATTTATTTGACAATTTAATTTGCTAATAAATTTATCATTTATTAAAGACTAATTTTTGAAATTTAGAATTCTGTATATCTCATGTAATTGCTATTTTGAATTCTTAAATTACCTCTCTTATTTTAACTACTACTTTTACTAGTTTTTAAATTTTTTTAACTAGATAGCAAATGGTTAAATGTTCCTTAAAAACTAAGACATTAATTCCAAGTCTGTGATACACTGTCAATAAAGTATTGAATATAATGGAAAATACTGGTTTGAATCATTGTTCTTATTTTATATATGACTAATGATAAACAACATATTTTAATACATGTTATATTTATTCATTCATGATTTTTGCTGAATTATTTGCTTATAATTCTGATTTCTTCTCCTAGTAGCTAGTTTTTTCTTTCTTTCTAGTCTTTGTTTATATTGTTTTATAATTCTGCTTCTTAACTTCTTTAAATTGAGAGCCTCGAACCAGTCTTCTTACCGAGGGACAAATTTCATACAAATGCACTAAGCACATCTTTATGTTAATTTTCTGTTCTGAAAAGCATCCTGGACTAGTTAAAATATTACTTTTGTTCTTTGAAATGTGTTTTCCATGAAATTCTATCTACTAAATTTGTTTATTGAATGCAAAAAGGACTTATTAAAAAAAATTATTTGTTCTTAATTGCATTGAGAATAATTTTGATGGGAATAATATTTTTAAAAATATGTTCATTTTTATTACAAGTTGTGTATTTTATAAAATGAAAATTTTAAATTTTGCATTTATTTTACAGTGGGAATACGAGTGTTCTAGTGTTAGATTTTGAATATTTTTTCTGTAATATTAATTTTATACTATAATAATAGTAATTTTACAGTCAGTTCTGTGACGTTTCATTTGGATATTGCTTTTAAAATTCAAGTCAAACTTAAATGCGAAATTGAACATCAATCATTAACATTACATTACATTTTTATATCTTAATTGCATCTTTGTTTCTTTTAGATTTCTATCTCAGCAGATAGGCTCTAAATTGGATCATTTTTCTGAAGCTCTCTTGCCATCTTTAATTAATTTAATTCCTAATAGTGCCAAGATAATGTCCACAGCTGGAATAGTTGCCATACGTTTTATCATTAGGGTTAGTAATGCAGTGTTTCGTCTTTTTTTTTTATCATTAGTTGTATTATTCTCTCAGTAATCCTCTAATAATTTTAAAAATGCTAACTATATTATAGTCATTAGGGTTTGTAACTCTCTTTTAAATTTTGAGTAATTTTTTATCATTCTAATACGTGTTTTCATATTTTTCAGTATANATATTTTTATTTAGATTATTTTTCTTAGTCAAGAGTAGTCAAGACTACTACAAGACCACTACTAAAATAATAGAACTTTTATTTTAAATTAGGGATACAAAAATCTTTATAGAAAAACAATACCTTTGCGACTTTCATTAGTTTTATGCTGATGACAACAAAAACAATCTGGAAATGAATGAGGAAAAACTGGATCCTACCACACGATTTTTCAGCCAATAAAAATACTCCGACAATAAAAATCTTTTCACCTGACATTTAATACTAATTTGAAATAATGGAATTGACAACAAAAGACCATCTCGAAAATATATTTTTTTTTAAATTTTAATTTTATTTTACTTTGTATGCCTTTTTTCTCTTCATTTTCATGCATTGTCATCCAATTCTGAACTATGTGCCAAATTTGAAGTTTGTAGCTAGTCGGGAAGTTAGTTTAAAATCGATTACAAAATTCCACCCGGACAGACATACACGAAGGCAAGTTTATATAAACGTGGTAATAAAATAGAAAGTTTTTTTAGATTAATCGTACATCGCTCAAGACTCAAGATTTACGTCCCAAAAAGACTTTTATGTAAAATTTATCTCGCTCTTATACGTTCTGTGCAAGCTCTGTAAAGAGTTGTTTGGTTGTTGGGAGATCAGACTTAGAATCTCCTTGCCGTCAGACTAAACTTGGATAAATTTTCGTGCTTTTTCGCGTGCTCCATGGTACGCAAATGCTGGTTGGTTCCAACAAAAAGTCCTCCACAAAAGCTAATTTGTCTTAATGTTTAATCCAAGAGTTCTCTTTCTTTCTTAAATTGGGTTCAACATTATGAGGCTAAGGAGTTGATAGTCCTAAACTCTGAATTGGATCTGCTGTTAAACAATGATTATAATATAGAATAAAAAAGAAATAGCACTATAATAAAAATCTGTTTTATTTCAGGCAGTATAATGATTAAAAAAAGTGTAACTGTGCATGAACAGAGCGAAATTATAGAATATACAATTTCATTTCAATATTCATAAACTGTTTTCATCTATAAACTAATCTATTTATGACCCGTTTTTGTGAAAGGTTAAAGTAATAATAATTAAATAACTGGTCATGATAGTAACTGATTAATTGCGGAAGCGTTTCCTGCTTTAGTTTACGAATGTTAATTAGCTCGTTAAATTCTTCCTTTACAACAATAGTGATAGGAGAGTTGGGACGCTTAATTCTGAGCAGAATGGGGTCCATTTTGAATTTGCACTCATTTTACTTTTTTTTAATACTTGCATGTAGCTTCTTGGAAATGTAAGTATAATTGTTAAATCACTATTAATTTTGTTAAATCACTTATTTTAACCAAATTTTAATCGAACAGTTAGCAAAACATGAATAAATAAAAACAAATTAAATAAAAGAAAAAAGAAAAATTACCCCCATTTTGACTTTTGAAGTATGGTCATTATTCCATTTTATGAAGCGCTAGGACAATATCTTGATGGAATGTCTAATCTAAAACAGTTATCTGTAACCGTGGTAGAACAGGCTTATTTTTACACGAAAAATTTTATAATTTGAGGAAGATAAAAATGAAGAATTTTTTTAATTAATCTGATAATGATAATTTTTCCTAATGTATAATATGAGAACATTTTTATTTATTCAGAGTTTTCAGATTTTTTGAAAACAAAGTCAAGTATTTATGCTGTTTTGGTGGATAAAAAGGTGTTTGAAAACAAATTTAAAAAGTTTATAACTTCTGAAATTTTTTAAAAATTATTTTTTAAAGACGTGCTGCCTCTTTCATAATTATGTTGCAAAATAGCAGTACTTCAAATGCTTTGTCTTTTGAGAGTAAAAGAGCTATTCCTTTTTTTAAACATTCACTTGTAAAATTTAAAAACATACTTATTTTGATGAATTTTAAAAAAAGAAAGAAAGAAAATTTGTAGATATTTATTTCATTATTTATTATATTTTGGCTGAAATTTCTTTTTTTAATGTTTTAGTTTCAAAATATTGGTCAAACCACCTTTTTGCTAAGCCAGCTATAAATTTATTAAATAACTTTCACTGAGTCTAGCTCAGGGGTTAGAGCGGTCGCCTTCGGTGAACCGGGGTCAAATCCCAGAGATAGCTGGTCGATACGAATTTCGAACCCAGCTCGCACCAACCACAGTGCTGTCGTAAAATATCCTAATGGTTTTAAGGGTCAAGGGTTTGAGTCCCTTTACGGTCAAGCGAACCGTGGGAGGTTTCTGTGATTTTCCTCGCTATGTAACGCAAATGCGGTTTAGTACCTTGAAAAATTCCTCAACGAAGGCAAATTTCTCTCAATACTTGATCTAGAAGTTCCCTTGTCTTCTGGATTGGGTTCAAAATTACAAGGATACGGAGTTTAACATTAGTAGTCGTAAACCCAAAATTGGCTCGGCTGTTTAACGACGGTAATAAAAATAGCTTTCAATACCTACAATAATACTTGCTTATTCCTCTTAACTTTTTCAAGATTCCGTTTCCAAACTTGGTAAAACTTTTATGCCACTGTATTTCTTATTATCAAATTCCAATTAATTCGTAATCTGACGGTTCTTAATGTTTTTAATTTATTTAATGTTAATAAAATAATAAAAATGGTTATGCATAAATTGTTTAAAATTAAGTTATCTTTCCAATTTTTAGTAAAAAAGTAAATGACGTTTATAGATCAGGTTTTTTTTTATTATTAGCAGCCGATTGTCACTCATCTTAGAAAAAAAACTTCCCAGTGGTAGAGAAAATTCAGTTTTTTGATCCTAAGTTTAATAAATATGATTTAAAGAAGTCTTTGATAGCTAGGGCAGGGCTCGAAAAAACTCAGAAACTTTACCCGTCCCCGAGGACGGCTTGTCCAACAATGTGCCCGTCCTCCTTTGAAACTTACCCGTCGCTTCTAAATAAATAAAAATATAATTTTCTCTTATTTATTACAAGCATTTATATAAATTGCACAATGAATTAGTAGTTACTAAGATTACAAATACTAGGATTACATTATACAGTAATAAAAAAAATACTAGGTAACTAATAGTAAAGTCTAGCATTTCTATCATGAAATAATTTATTTCTTTGATGAAATAATAATTTAAATAACAAAGGTTAAGATATCTGTCAATTATCATCACAATTTATCTGATGGTACTGCGTTTTTTTAAATGAATCAAATATGACGTTTGCCAATGATTTACAAGTCAATGATTTACAGAGGTTTCTGCACAGAAATCTGAAAGAGGTTTTCCATTTAGGCAGATGTTCATAAATGCGTTTAACGCTTCTCGTTTAAGACAAGTAATTAATGTGTTTTTTTTTTTTTTTTTCAAGTTCACTGCTGAAAAGCCCCTTTCAACCGCTGCAGTACTCCCAGACAGAGAAAACATCCATTTCACCATGCGCAGTATGTTGCTGTATTTCGAGATTAGAGGGTCATTTTAGACGTGAGGCGCTAGACTCCTGTAAGATAACAAAAATTGAAAATGTATCACGAACATTAACGGAAAAATGGCCGTCCGCGCGGACGCTGGATTCCAGAAATTTGCTGTCCGCGGGGAATTTTTGACCGCCGAGGAAGGGCGGACGGGCGGTTTTTCGAGCCCTGAGCTAGGGCATATAAATAGACTAAGCATGAATAATTTGATAACTATGTAGCTATGTTTATAAATGGTGGCGAAACTAAATTTCTATTGCATTAGCGAAAATTAAGTGTGCAACTTACCGTTACTATGTATTCTTGGTATAAAAAAATGAAATCTCTTTCAACTTAATATTAAACTGTTTCTAAATATCATTTTTTTCTTCTTTTTTTTTGCATTCTGAGAATGAAGATAAAAACATGGAACATAAAAATAATTTCAAGTACTGAAAAAAAAAATTTTTTCTTTTAGAAATTGTATGCAGGACAGTCTTGGTTGTCATGTTAACTTTAACTAAGTATCATGGTATTTTAGAAGTCTTTGACATTTTAGCTGAGATTACGAATGGAAAATTATTTTATAACTTCAATTCATTAGTTTTATATTAAAAATTGATTAATAAAGGAAAATCTGGCGAACAAACCTATCAAGCATCTATTTCCAATTTATCTCTTTACTTTTTATATGGAGCTCGAATGTTTCATCCTTTGTTCACATATGAAGTAAATAAAAAAATATAAACCTAAAAAAAATAGTCAAACCTCAATATTACGAATTCCAAAGAAGACACAAAAATTTTCATGTTGTTAAATTTTAGGAATATCGAAAATTTTAATGAAATATCACATATTTTTTAACAATTCAGTCAAAAATAATAGCATTTATTCATTTAAAAAAAAACACACACAGTTTTTTCGAATAATGTCAATAAATTTACTTTTTCAATTGATTTTACATTTCGCTGAAGTCTTCTGTTTCGTTGTCTTTATGACCTCTTTTAATATTTCTGATTCTATTCCAATCACCACATTAGGAAACTGTTATTACTATTAAACTATTATTACTATTACTATTAAACTATCATAACCATCAGTTTTTCAGTTTCATTATCAGTTTTTCCCACCTTTTATATCAGTTTCTTTAAATTAATAAGTTTTATTCCAATTTTTCAGCAGGTTTTCCTATCTATGCAGCGTGACTAATTCTTAAATGTCGGGAAAAAAATTATTTTAAATAATTATTTATTATTTTTTATTGCTTTAATTAATGAGAATGAAAAGAAATTGAATTGTAAGACTTACAAATTTTTTAAGTTAAACGTACGGAATTTTTAATTGCAAAATTCAAAAAATAAATTAAATCGTTCGAATCAAATCAAATTTTAATCATACGAGTTCTTTAAAACTGGATAACTCAGAATTTGCTCAACCGATTCTGTACAAATTTTGTAATGTTTCAAATTAAAATGACATTCTTAAAAATTGTGTAAAAATTACTTTACTTTACAATTAATTGACCTTACAGTTTAAACTTTTTTTTGGCTGCTAATAAATAAATAATAATAAATAGTTATTAAAAATTAGTTTTAAATGGTATTATCTTTAGATAATTGAATTTTAAAGTTGCTGACAATTTTCGACTCACTTTAAAGAGTGCTCGAATATGGCGGAATATGCAAAAAATAAAATTGCCATTTAGGGATCCAAACTTACAACTTAAACTTTCGGGGCCGTATTTTCAGAGGGCGATTATCTTCCTTTTCCCATGTTCTGAGGATTAAAAATTTTATCAAAAAGGTATGTTTATTTAAAGAAAGTACGGTTTTTTGTTTGATTACGTAACTTAAAATATCGTCTGCTCCATTAAGAGAGCGGGAAAATCCAATCATTATATTAAAAGTTATTCGGTATTTTTTATTTCCTTGTGCACTGTACATGCAATTTTATGAGAATACCATATTCCCTCGATAATTTCACAGCAATTTCTTTTTAATTTGAAACTATTTTGAAAGACGTGATCTAATTCAGAAATAGAATAATTCAGAATAGGCTAGATCTGGTGACCATTCCCTTCTTCCACTCACAATCCCCCTTCATCATTTCCCCCCCCCCTTAAATTCATCGTTACATTAATCACTTTTTTTCTTCTCAAATGTCAATATTTTCTACAAAAACCAAGAATATTTTGTTAAAATATACAACTATTTTAGTTTTACGTTCGAACATTTTTTTCAGTATGTTAATCGTAATGAAATGAATGATTGGATGTATGATTGGATGAAATGGATTTAGAAAAAAATCATCTGTATTTCAGAGGGAAAAGAATTACCTAAAAAATAGAAATTGTGTGAACCCATTAGAAGAAATAAATGAGATTGAATTTACTTGTTAACGAGACTTGTGGCAATTCATACAGGAGACATTTTTCATCTGTCTTTATTTTTAAAACTTTTTATTTTTAAAAAATTCGATATAAATGTGAAGATTTATATTTGATAACAACAAATCTCTCTCTTTTTTCTTCTTCTTTTTTTTGTTACTTTAGACTTAAACTCAAGTGCAAGTTTGTTCTTATTAGCAATATGGTAAATGAATCAAAAAAATGGTAAAAGATAAAAAAATACTGCCCATTAATAAAGATCTCGTAAGAAAAAAATTTTTCGAGAACAATAGATAAATAATTAATATTTAAAGTGAAAAAAGTCCCACTACAAAAAGCACTTCGAATTCAAGTGAATTTCGAAAAAAATTGTAATGTCAATTAAAAAAAAAATTGCGTTAAGTTAAGAAGTACAATGCTTTTTTAGCATGTCAAATTTTAACTTCGTATTCCATTTCAAAAAGCAGCAGATAGACTCTCATGGTATTTTTTACTAGCTAGAACGTGAAGATCTGATCATTAAATCAAAAGATATTCAGGGATATTCCGTTTTTTTTCTTCTATCGCACTGTACATCAAAAAAAAATTTCAAAGTAGAGTTGAACACCCGAATTAATGGAAGCAGCAGCGCAAATGATTTTTATACTACGAAAAACTTTGTACAGGCTATAATTCGCGGAAACATTTCTATACTTGGTTCCTTCTTGAGTAGTAAAAATTTTAAAATAGTCGTTTTTTTTCTTAATTAAACAGTCATATCTGCAAACAAATATTTTACATTGTGGTGAAAATCTCTTTTCTCTTTTACAATTTCTCTTCATAAAAAAAAATATTTTTCTAAATGCTTTGATTCAAAAGGTGCCATTATCAGGTATAAGTTATTGCCTGTTAAAGTTTAGTGCGAAAATAAATAGTACAATTATTAAAATCTTTGATAACAGCTTTTTCCATCATTTTATCAATTTTAAAATATAAAATTTTTCCAGCGAAATTGCTGAGAGCGAAAATTTTGTTCTCATAGAAGTGCAATGTAAGTGTATCTTCCATAGAGTAAGTCTGCTCATAAATGTATATGATGCGCTGTGAGCAAACGGTAGCATTTTGTAGCAATTTTTGAATTTTCTCATTTTTCCTTATACCGCATGTTTCAAAAAATTCAAAAGTTTTTACCGAGTATTGAGAAGTTTAAAATTGCTAATAACCTTTTTAAAATGGTCTTCAACTTCTTTTAGAATCCGTACATTAATGAATTTATTTCAAAGTGACTGTCATATGCTTTAATTTATGTTTTATAGCGATTTTTTCTTTTTGTCATGATTTTTTACCTCATCCGATTAACACTTAAAATTAATGATGTCCTTTTTCTCTTAAAATACACTCTATGAAATCAAAAATAAAAACCCGCAAAGTGGCGAGTTCGTGAAAGTGGAACAAACAGTTAAAGCAGTGTTTCCCAAACTTATGATTTTTGTGTACCCTTTCTAAATTTTTCGTACCGCTGTGTACTACTAATAAAAAAAAATGAATGCATTTTTTACTATAAAAAATTCCACAAAATTTTAAAATCACAAGTGCTGTAGACACCACTAATTAACTGTTAACTCTACAAAAAATAGCCAATAGAAAAATATGTAATCGTAAATTTTCACGGCTAGCTTTGTTTTTAAATAATTTTTTTAAGCATTTTAATTATTGTTTGTTGCAAGATATTTTGTATAAGAACGCGTACCCCCTCTTAACTGTTCTCGTACCCCTAGGGGTACGCGTACCACACTTTGGGAAACACTGAGTTAAAGTAATGCTTTTGAAGGCAGCACAGTAAACGTGAAGTTATAATGTCTTATTTTATAAAATTTTTCTTAGAACTAATGAGGAATCACAAATCGATAAACCGTCAATGTAGAACAAGAAAACCGTGGTGGCTCAGGGGATAGAGCGTTCGCCTTCCGTGGTGAACCGGGTTCGAATCCCAGAGGTGGCTGGTCGTTACGAATTCGGCATCCGGCTAGCAACGACCACAGAGCTGGAGTAAAATATCCTCAATGGTAGACGGATCGTGGGTTAGAGGCCCCTTGCTGTCAGTCTAACCGTGGGAGGTCTTTGTGGTTTTCCTCCCCATTACACGCAAATGAGGATTTGTTCTTTAAAAAAAGTTCTCCACGACAACAAATTTCTCCCAGTACATAATCCAGGAGTTCCCTTATCTTCTGTATTGGGTCCAAAATTACAAGGCTACGGAGTTGAACGTTAGTAGTCTTAAACCCAAAAAAATTGAATCAGCTGTTCAACGGCCGTTATAAAATGTACAACATAGCATTCGGAGTAACACAACAGAGTCATCAGGCGCTGTGAAGAGAAGAATCCATCAAGGAGGTTTAACAGTAAATTATATATCTAATTTTTCTTTACTATTTACGAAACTATAAAACAAATTCACATTTGCTAGAAAGTTATCCCAAGAAATTGAAGCTGTAAGATATTACCTGATTCGCTTCAGAAATAAAAATACCAGAAATAACAGTCCACATGCTTCAAAGATAGGCGCCATTTTCAACACTTGCCAGGCGTGACAGTAAAGAAACAAAAATTATTTTAAATAGAAAACGTGGAACCAGCGAAAAATTTAAAAATAAAGGTGAGAAACAGAACAAGAAAAATCACAGTGGCCGAGAGGCAAATCAGGATAAAATGCATTTCCATGCCTTATGGAGTCGAAGACAAACTAATGTCATTAACAAGGACAGCATTCATTTTTTTTCCTTCTTTTTCTTTTCTCTCTCGGTTCCTGTGACATTTCTAGTTTAATTCCTTACCTTTATTTTTCCATTTTTCGTTGGCAACCTTACGCTTTAAATTTCAAATAATTTTTTTTCTTTACTTTCACGTCGGGCAAGTTTTGAAAATGGGCGTCTATTTTTGAAGCGCTTGAAACATGTCGACTGTTATTTCTTATTTAATTGTTTCTAAAGTGAATGGAGTTTTCAATCAGGTAAATTCACATTTGCTTAATAGTTTTGGTAAATAAAACACCCAAACAAAATTAATGTTCATTAAAATTATAAAAGAAATCATATATGTTTAATTCTTTAGCTATGGCAGAGGAGGTTTTGGTGGAGGCAGAGGAGGTTCTGGTGGAGGCAGAGGAGGTTCTAGAGGCGGATACAGAAGTCGTAGCAGCTCTGGATCAAGCGCTAGCAGCAGATATAAACCAAGCAGTGGTAGTAGTTCTGGATCAAGTAGCAGCGGTAGTTCCGGATCAAGTAGTAGCAGTAGTTCCATATCAAAAAGCGGTGGTAACTATGGATCAAAAAGTGGTGGCACTTCTAAATCTAGTGCAAACCAAGGAAGCAGTTTCAGAGCTATCCCAATTTATATCAATCATAATCACAGAATGAATGAAGACATTTTGAACTTAAATCGGATCAATGATAATTATGATCGTAAATCCCAAGAACATCATGAAAGTAAAATAGATGCTATGGAAACCCGTAGACCATGGATATACCGCTACACAACGTCTCGACCCAGGAATATTCTAAAAGCGAAACCTCGAGATAATGCGTTGGAATATCGAAACTGGAGAAAATTAAGTGAGCCATCCGATCCTTTTCAAGGACGAATAGATGAAATAAACGAAAATTCCAGAAAAATGAAAGAATTGTCAGTCTTTGATTCATATGGAGATCGTAGAAATCGCTTTCAGAAACGTCACATTTGTGAGGGATCCCAGTGTTTCCATGAGGGAGGAAGAAAAATGGGGGATGATATAACCGCTGTCAACCCCAGACATGCTCAAAATTCAAAAAGTGAAAGACGAAAAAGAAACGTCTCTTTTTAAAGATTGCCAAACAGGGTAAAAACGTAATTTTTAAAATTCCATATTTATCAACGTAACTATCAGCATTGATAAGAGGAAAAAAAATGTAAGATTGTAAGATGATTTAAGGAAAAAAAATATATAAACATGCTTTTGTCTTAGTTTCTTTTTCCTTTTTTTTTTTTGTTACATTCGAAATTCCTAAAATTTAAACTACCCCCAAAATATTTATATCAAATCTTTTCATTGCTTGTAAATAGAATTAACGTTTGAAAAGAAGCTATGCGATTTCTCTACTCTTTTCCTTTCTGTTACCATATTACAGTGTTTCCCAAAGTGTGGCACGCGTACCCCTAGGGGTACAGGAACAGTTTAGGGGGGGTAGTACGAGTTCCTATGCGAAATATCTTGTAACAAACGTAAATTTCAAAAAATTTTATCTCAAAACAAAGCTAGCCATGAAAATTTATGATTACGTATTTTTATGTTGGCTATTTTTTGCAGAGTTAACAGTTAATAATTAGTAGTGTCAACAGCCAATTGTGATTTTTAACTTTTGTGCAATTTTTTATAGTAAAATATACGCTCATTTTTTTGGTAAAAGGAGTGGTAAAAGGAAAACTATGAAGAGAGGGAAAATCGCATAACCTTAAAACGTCTATTCTGTTCACAAAGAGTTATTAATGCAAGACTGTATAGTAATAATTTGCTTTTGAATGGAGTTTGTGTTACGTTAACAGAGTTTTTCGAAACTCTTTCGATAACAAAATTAAAAAAGCCACATTTTAAGTGTTTATACTTGAAGCAAAGTTATAATTTTAAACTACGTGCACCATCTTTGCCATTAAGAGTTATCTATGCTTTAAAACGAAAAAAAAACTCCATTTTTTTTAAAACACTAAGTTGGCGAGATTTTTCTATTTTGGTGAATATTATCAAAATCAATAAATAACTCTCAATTTTTGAGAATTGTTAAATTAACGAATAATGGTTGCGTTGGAGTAAACATTTTAAATACTAAAAATCAGATCACAAACGTTTTTCTTTTTCACGAAACGTGGCTTTTTTTCATATTGACGTTTTGCGCCATAGAGGACGCTGATTAAAAATAGGCTAACTTGAGCTAAGAGTGATGAAAATAGCTTATTATTAGCAAAAACGCGTTTTTGCGTGTGACGCTTGAGCTTTAGAAAAACAGACAAGGCAACACACAGACAGACCCGAATTTGCAAAACATTTATCAAAAGAATATTCGAAATTCAATGCATTTCAATTTCACCTTTATTTTAAAAAATCAGTTCGTCAGTTGTTACTTTTTTATTTAAATGCTAAAAATCAGATCACAAACGTTTTTCCTTTTCACGAAACGTGGCTTTTTTTCATACAGACGTTTTGCGCCATAGAGGACGCTGATTAAAAATAGGCTAACTTGAGCTAAGAGTGATGAAAATAGCTTATTATTAGGCAAAAAGCGTTTTTGCGTGTGACGCTCAAGCTTTAGAAAAACAGACAAGACAACAGACAAACAGACCCGAAATGGCAAAACATTTATCAAAAGAATATTCGAAATTCAATGCATTTCAATTTCACCTTTATTTTAAAAAATCAGTTCGTCAGTTGTTACTTTTTTATTTAGAAAAAAAAGTCATATTTTTTTAAATTTTCATTCTTCAAGAATTATGCAAACAATTTCGTTTAATTGTTGTAATTTTTCATTCAAAATGAAATTATTTAAACTGATTTAAGAATTTGAGTACCTTACAATTTGAAAATTTTTTGAATAATAATATGTAAAATAGTAATTAATAAGTTAATATTTTTTGCATAAAACTATCATCGGATGAGGAGTTTTGCAGTTGTATTTAATTTTTCGATTAGTTTAAATTAGTGGTTCCCAACCTTTTGTGGACCATCGCCCCCTTCTTGAGGTTGGCTGACACACATCGCCCCTTTTTCTTTTTGCTCAAAAACCATTCATTGCTGCTTGTGAGCAACCAAACGCTAAGTTATGTTTGATTTTAATTTAAATTGTAATGCAAATAAGGAGGCAATTTTATCCTGCCATTTTTATTAATTAAAAAAAAATTGCGCATCTTTTTTTTTTTCAAAAAGAAAGGATATTTAAAACGGAATAATTAAAACAAAAGTTAATTTTTTNGTAATGCAAATAAGGAGGCAATTTTATCCTGCCATTTTTATTAATTAAAAAAAAATTGCGCATCTTTTTTTTTCAAAAAGAAAGGATATTTAAAACGGAATAATTAAAACAAAAGTAAATTTTTTAAAATTCATATTTTAATATAATCAAGAAAAAGTTAAAACGTTAGCAACTAAAATTTGAGAAAAAAAATGAAGGGTGAGAAAATACATTTTTACCACTTCAATGACTGCCCTGTGCTTGGTGTATTTCAGCTAAAGCTTGAATGTCAGGTTTTATGTTCGGCAGATTTAAACGCAGGTCTCCTTTGAAGCAAATGTCCAACCTATTTCTTTGCTTTGTGAGGACCTGGACGACAGAACTAAAACCTCTCTCCACTAAATATGTTGACGGTAACGAGATGAGGAGCGGCTCAGTTTGTATGCCAGTTTCATAAGCTTTAGCCAAGCTAACTCGTAACCGTATTTTTTAAAGACGACTTTAGCATACTTCAAATCTAAAAACTTAGTCTGCAAAGAGAAGTGAGCTTATCCACAACTTCAAAAAAGAAAGGATCGAAACTCCAATCCGGAATTTCTAATTTCTTCATATCTTTAAATCTTGATTCCATATCAGTTTTTTACTGATCAAGGTGAGCAGTAAAAATTAAGATTTTATTTTCGAGAATCTCGATATCTGCCATTGAACACTTTCTAAGAGTTGGAAATTGCATTAGCTCTTTGCGACCAATGTTTGACTTGTAGATATCAAACTTGGCGATGAATGAAGATATGATTCCCTTAGCCTTGATAATGTTCATTTTATTCCTTTATTCATTAGTTCCTTGAAGTTCTACGTTGATTTCGTACATTTTTTCAAAAATATCCGTGAGGGACGCAGTTTCTAACTTGAGTTGCTTCAAACTCTCACATAAAACAGGATCAGTGGTGTCGAGAAACTCAGTAACCGAGTCAAACGATTTGAAAAAACGACGCAAACAGTCTCCTTTTGAAAGCCATCTCACATCTGTATGTAGGGGCAAGCGTTCGAAATCTTCATCATTTTCACGGCAAAATTCTCGGAACAAACGGTCATTGAGAGAATCAGCTTTGATTTTATTGATGCCAGAAATGACGAATTGTAAAGTGTCATGCAGGGCAACACTCAACTTTTTTGCAGAAAAATGTTGACCATGAATGACACAATGAATGGTGATGACCACCACAGTACTTCTTTTTTATGGTGCGCTAGAAGCCCAGTATGACGACCAGACATGGCAGGAGCACCATCTGTCACACAAGCACTTACGTTTGCAAGGGGAATTTCTTTTTCCACAAAATAGTCTTTGACCAATTTAAAAACCTACGAACATTTTTTATCAGTGATCAAAGCTCTTGTAAACAACATTTCCTCGTTCATCCAATCTCCTTACTCTCATATATGAATCTCACGTAAGCTAATACAATAGCACAGTTGAGTCATCAATCTGCAACGCAAATTTACCTTCTCTCATAAATTTGATGAGTTTTGATTCAACGTCTGCGGCCATCTCATCAATAAGCCTGGAAACAGTATTATTGCTCAGAGGTTTTATCTTATTGCTCGATCGCTCACCCAACATGATTTCAACAATTTTTTTAGTAGCAGGTAAAATAAGAGTTTACCAATTGTGTGAGGTTTAGAGTTATATAAATGTTTCGTCTATCAATCCGTTTCTCCTATTACATGCCTTTTAAAATCGGAGGGATGGGAATGAGACGAGAGAGGAACATTTGAGGAGAAGAAGGTATATAAAAGACCATCACTTTCAACAAAAGAGAATTCTTGAAGGTCAGATTTCCGCCAGCGATACTAAAACGTATAACGAAAACGATCCTGAACTTGAAATTTTTTATTTTTAACTATCGTAATTCTTTATCTACATCAGAACCATAAGCTTCATATATGTTTTCAATTTCGATCTCAAATAGCTTTTGTCATTAACATTGTTAGCAATTTTTATCTTTTGAATACTCGTCGCCCCCCGATCGCCACCCTAAGGATTATCGCCCCCATGAGGAGCTCTATCGCCCCTTTTGGGGCGATCGCCCCCAGGTTGGGAACCACTGGTTTAAATAGTTCCATTGATATAGTGAAACACGAAGAAAACTAAAGAAGCAATAGAGGTCCAAACTTTTGACCGCTATCCTGCTCAAAATAATTAAATGATATTGTAAGTCTTGTATAAAATAACAGCATAAGTAACTTTTTTTGCGTATAAAATGGAAGAAGAGAGTCACAAGTGCAAATTTTTCTTATTTTCAAACTTCGCAATAGGCAAATTTTGAGTTTGACGTCGAAGACAACGTTTTAGCGGCAGCGAATTTGCTTTGGCTTTCAACTTAATGTAAGAGTAAGCGAAAAATATTGATCGACATTCAGTAAGCGCGTTGTTTCGATGTCTCAACGAGGTCATTTAACCGAATCAGAAGCTTAGAGAATTGTTAGCCGATTAGAGAGGGGCCACAAACACAAGCCGAAGTAGCAAAAGCCATTGGAGTTTCACAAAGTGTGATTTCCAGTATCTGGGATTGCTTCCTGGAGACTGGAAATGCAGGCCGAAGATCAGGGCAGGGGCGTAAACGTCCAACACTCAATGAAGACCATTATTTAACGCTAACGGCTAGGAGATACCGATTTAAGAACGTCTCTCTGCGTCAACAACACCTTCGCTCAGCTATTAGCACCACAATTTCGTCACAAGCTGACCGAAACCGCCTTCAAGCTGTAGGTCTGTGTGCTCGCCAACCAATAGTGTTTGTCACACTAACGGCATGGCACCGTCGCTCCCTCTGAGAGTGGGTAACAGAGCACGTGAACTGGAGGAGAAAAAATAAATGACGCGATATTCTTTTCTCTGGCGAGTCCTGTTTTCCGTCCATCCTGATAATAGGCGTATTTTCATCTGGAGGGAAAGTGGCACAAGAAAAAAATCCTGCGTTCGTGCCCGAGATTGTAAGATTTTGCAGTGGGGGAGTGATAATC